GGGCGGTAAGCCATATAAGGTAGTATGTTAACAAGGGCGGTAAGCCAGATAAGGTAGTATGTTAACAAGGGCGGTAAGCCAGATATGGTAGTATGTTAACAAGGGGGTAAGCCAGATAAGGTAGTATGTTAACAAGGGCGGTAAGCCAGATAAGGTAGTATGTTAACAAGGGCGGTAAGCCAGATAAGGTAGTATGTAAACAAGGGCGGTAAGCCAGATAAGGTAGTATGTTAACAAGGGCGGTAAGCTAGGTTGGGTAGTATGTTAACAAGGGCGGTAAGCCAGATAAGGTAGTATGTTAACAAGGGCGGTAAGCCAGATAAGGTAGTATGTTAACAAGGGGGTAAGCCAGATAAGGTAGTATGTTAACAAGGGCGGTAAACCAAGTTGGGTATTGTGTTAGCAAGGGTGATTAGCCAGATGAGGTAGTATGTTAACAAGGGCGGTAAGCCAGATAAGGTAGTATGTCAACAAGGATGATAAACCAGGTTGGATAGTATGTCATTAAGGGTAGACAATAGAATGTCACTATTTTGTTACAAATTGTTATGTTTGACGAAATTGCCCTCAACACAATCAAGTATCCCGTAACATCTAGGTCACTGACTCCTATTTCAGCCTGCTTTTCTTTTTGAATTAGCTCTCACAGCTTTTGTCCATTCACGAACATACTGTAGTGCTACACCGGACAAAGAACATCCTGTAGTGCTACACCGGATGACAGGAAACAATACATAAAATGTCATAACACAGTATTCACAACAAGTCACTCAGTCCCAGCACTAGTGTGGGAATCCGTCATGTCCAACGATCGTTGTTGTTGTGGTTGAGATCGACGTTTATGTTGTCTCTTTCACCATGTACCGTCATTGCTTCCCTGTTCTCGAAATTTCTAAAAATGCGTTCTGTTTTGCGTCATGTTTAACTACTTCCTTCTCATATAAAAAAAAATTATAAAAACCGATAAAACATTATAAAAACCGAAAAATCATTATAACAACCGAAAAAAAAAAACAAAGAAAAAATACATTATGTTTGCTTAAGCCTGCTCATTAGACTGTTAAATTGTTTATATAAATGGACAGACGTTGTATAGAGCAGGCCGGATGAAAGCGAGATTTTCTGCAACTTCCCCAGTTTTGTAAATTTTCTCTGTATTGAATTATTCAATAAACACGTTTAAAAAATTATATACCACGTATTGCTTTTAAAGAAAGTGCTAAGGGCTTTTACATTTTGCTGCCATGTTAATGCGAGGGATGAAAGTGGAAGCTTTGTTAAAGTTTGTTATATAAAGTGTTGCGATGCTCTATGGCATGTAACATTGTAGCGTTGTGTATGGTAAGGTTGATAACACATTGCCTTTTTTTATACTTTTGCCTAATTGAACTCAATTGTTAAGAATTGAAAACGGAGTTGGGATATTAATTATTAGATAAAGTTAGGGGCCCCGGGCTACTGCCTGGTCACCCCCCCCCCCCTTCATCCGCTACTACTTTTGTTGGGTACATATAATAACATAATGTATAAGAACAAATAATCACTATGAATGTATTTCTTTTTGTTATGGTCAGTCATTTCCAATAGACATTAATATAAACCATTCCATATGATGACGATCAATAACATTCAGAAAATTCACAGCAAAAAATAATCATTCCAACAAAAGTATTAAACATCAATATTTTTAATTATAATAAAATTGATTTATTTCTATCAATAAAACACGCTGAAGCGTACCTTCAATAACATTATAACATATGATGCACGGCAGCTAGTATACTTGTACATGTCACATCAGTCTAATGTACACACCAGTCATTTCTTCATTTCCTCATTCAATCTATTGTACACAAGTATTTCTTCATTCCGTCTATTGTAGGGACCAGTCATTTCTTCATTCCATTTATTGTACACTTAAGTCATTTCTTCATTCAATCTATTATACACATATATCATTTCTTCATTCCATCTATTTTACACATAAGTCATTTCTTCATTTCATTTATTGTAAACATAAATCATTTCTTCATTTAAATTATCGTGCACTTAAGTCATTTCTTCATTCAATCTATTGTGCACATAAGTCATTACTTCAAACAATTCATTGAGTTTACGTCTCCGATCTAAGATCATGACAAATCTGTAATAATAAATTATAGAGAGGCAGGGGCGAGGGGGCGGGTAGAATAAGGTCATATACAGCGACATGACTCCAGCGTGCTTGAAGGTTAAAAACTAATTAATTTTAATTAATATTAATGAGAGGCTCGTAAGCTAAGGCTACGCTTCAGTGAGTTTTGTTGTTGTCAGTGAAGTCATGCGTGTCGGAGACAGATGTTGAGTGGGGTTAGCGTGCTGTCTGACATTTGTAACACGTGATCACAGATTTCTGGTCATTTCAACAGAAAAACAGTCACGTGATAGGTGTAGATATTGTCATGTGTGTTGGGTAAAGATATAGTTATTGGTTTTGGGTAAAGATATTGTCATGTGTGTTGGGTAAAGATATAGTTATTGGTTTTGGGTAAAGATATTGTCATGTGTGTTGGGTAAAGATATAGTTATCGGTTTTGGGTAAAAATATTGTCATGTGTGTTAAATGACGATATTGTCATGTGTTTTACGTGAAGATATTGTCATGTGTTTTCGCTGACGATAATGTTGTGTGTTCACATACTTCTAACACACATCCTAGTCATAAAGTAGGAAAAAATATTGTCATAATCATGTATTGACAGACTTTATATTACTTTATAACAAAAATACCCATACGCTTGTGGAAAATACTGGTTTAAATACACAGTCATCATATAACATCATATATCAGGATACAAAACAAGTTTATCATACGGGTTCTGTTATATTTGCTATTTAAACACAAAATGTCATCACAAGCAAGAACTTGGTCCTGCAAACTACTCTTGTATAGTATGTACCGTGTGTGTTTGTAAGTTTTATCCAGTGAATTCACATTGAACTCTTTCGTCATTCTTTTTTCCCATTTTTTCCGCTTTTTAAGATCAAGCATTTTAAGTACCAAGTTCATCAAATGAATTCTTGTTGCTTTTGTCCAGGGGTCTCCAAACTTTTCAGTCCAAGGGCCGCATTAACTATCAAATTTCAGTTCGGGGGCCAGTTTCTTCCTGGCATGTCTTTGATTTTTCTGCGCCAAGTTCCTCATCATCACCAACAAACGATTTTTCCTGGGACAAAAAGATCTCCGCGGGCCGGATGAGAGGACATCGCGGGCCGCATTCGGTCCGCGGGCCGTAGTTTGGAGACCCCTGCTTTAGTCTTTTGCTTTTATCAATTGACTCACATAAAAAACAAGACAACCATCAGGAAATATAAGTCACTTATTGCTTTTTTGTATGATTCACTTTTGTAAGTGACCTTTCCTTAAAACAATCATCTGTGTTTTGGAAAAGAAACTTCAATATAAAGCTCTAGCAGTACAAAAATAATAATGACGATTCAATAGTTCAAGGTAAATACTTTATGATCAAATTGTTTTGTATTGAATACGACACACATATTACCCGTAGGCTACATGTAGTTCCGTGCACTGTAGGATACTCAGACTTGAAAAGACTTGACTGTCTAGCTCAAAATCTTAAAGACGACCAAAATCTTGTAAACATTTTAAATTTTAAGATAAATATTCTTGCAGAGAGCTTAGCATTAAGCGATATAAAAATTAAAATACCCTTTCAAACCTTACGCGGCCCATGTAGCAGGTGAAGTAGAGTTCGCCTGGGATAGTGAGATTAAGATATACTAGCCGACCCGCTGCGTATCATACGCCGCTATTTAGTTGTTTTTTTTTTCTACTTTTATAATGTGTGAATTCGACAGTACCAATGCTGCCACTGAAAATATTTGCTTAAAAACACTAAACCCCCCTTCCCACCCCCCCCCCACGTGAAAGCAGCCTCCTCTTAGTTACCTCCTCTAAGTTTAAATTTCGTTTCAAACTAAATTATCTGCCCCTAATAGCCGTCACCAAACCCGTCTCTATGATTGTAAAATGTAAACAGCGTGAACCACAGCTCACCAGACCATGTGAGGGGGTGGGGGTGGGGGTGGTAGTGATAGTGAGGAAGAGAGGGGACTGTAAGGCGCGCTTGCAGCTTGTTTTCTAACGGCTCCCAGAAGAGAATTATAAATATAGATTATCTTGTAGAAAACTTTAAGTTCAATAAGGGTTCTTGAAACCCATTCGTTTCTATCAATACGTCTTCATGTTAAAGCCCCAATACACTGTCCCCTCACTAAACCTCTGGCCCTTCCCCCAAACTTCTAGCCCATCCCCTATCAACATTTAAAATTCATTTGAACTAGTAGTCTTCATGCTGTTATTCCTGTAATACCATGCTTTGTTTATTGCTATCGTTAACAACATCTATGAGTATCATCAACTTTAAAGTATTTCAAGTTTTCTTCAGTGCTTACATGATGCCCAAAACGAACAGTGAACATTTTTGAAAAGTATAAGCCTATATATAAAAGTACTAGTTTAGGATATACTTGACTGCTGATAAGATTTTTAATATTGAAACAAATCCACCTAAAGGTTAAAGCACATACATGTAGAGATTTTAATATAGAACATGAATTACAACTTGACAATGGTAAAATAAATTATCAATGGATAAAATATTGGCAGTGCATAGTCGTCTTGTAAGGTCTTTGAAAACATGGCAATCAAATAAATTAAATTATGTAAATGACAGCTTTAAAGTGTGATTGGGTAATGACCTTCCTTAATTAAGACATATTAGCAGAAGGGGCACCTTCATTCGTCACCTGAATCTTGTTCATAGTTTGTTTAAAGTATTCTGTTACTTTTTACACATTAGATATATGCATTTTTTGCATTCAAACAAATAAACTTTATTACATGATATAGTTGTAGTCCTTATCCAATAATCTTATCAGATCTATATAATCTAAATCTAAACAAATAAATAAATCTTAGTCCAATGAAAAATCCGAAGTAAAGTATTTGTTAATGATCCAAACGAGCCTATATCCTAACCGAAACCAAACAGTTAAACCAAGAATATTGCGTCATCACCAGGCCCTATGAACAAACGTGAACCCGGGGTCAGTCAATAAAGGCACGTTGACTTTAGGGGCACATATGCCCGTGATGAACACGTCATCCAGCCAGATGGGTTTAATCCTGAGGGCAGCGTTGTACAACAACGTCACTGTGCTTAGCGGGTAGCCCAGTAGCCCACCCAGGGCAAAGGGGGGCAACACCTTCTGAGAATACTCACTGACAGGGAGGTAATATTTACTGGCGTTATTCCTCACCGCTTCCCAGTTCTCTTTCTTGTCTCCTAAAATAAAATTTTCGAATTTTTCATTGGTCCGTTTCATTATGGAGATAAGTTCAGACGTGTTGACTTTGACGTCGTCATCGGTGCGTATGACGTAGGACGTTTGTTTACAGTAGGTTATCGCCCATTTCAACATGGACATGGCTTTCAACCGGATGTTTTTATACACGTCTGGAAAGTTTTCTTGCACAATATCTTGATACTGGTTAGCTTCCTCGTCTATTTTAGACTGTATAGTCTGGTTGTTATTTTCCGGTTTTCCAAGAAAAAACAACAGTTTCGCTTTGTTACTTTCATTAGTAACAAATTCCCCTCTATCGCTTTGTCGAACTTTTCCCCTTTTTTCAAAATTCTCCGGAGCAGAAGGCACAACAAAAAGCACTTCCGTTTCACCTTCCGCGCATGCGTTTTCTGGGTTATGCGTGTAGGAGCTGACGTGGTTGTCGATGATTGGCTGGGAGAGGAAGGAAATGACCTGCTTCTTCTTCTCCACCTCAGCCAGCAGCTTCCGGTTGATGGCCTGCAAGACCTGTGCGTCCAGGTTAGGGACGGTCAGGTTTTCCAGAACCTGGTACCCGTAGCTGGGGACGTCTTTCTCTGGCGGCTTCAGCTGGTCTAACACGCAGTTTAGAAGAGAGTCTAGAACCAGGGCTTTGGACGATTGAACAGACAGGAGGTCAAAGCTCTCGATGACCTTGGAGACCATCTGCCTGGCCTCCCATTGGACGCGGTCGTCACGTGCCACGACGACTTCCGGGAAGTTCTGGGTGTGCAGCAGCATGCACAGGTTGGCGACCAGCGAGACGACGAGAACACCTGCAAGCAGCAGGCGGATCTGCACTGGCCCCATCTGGCAGGTGGTCACCACGTGTCAACAGTCACCTGGTGATCGTGTCACCAGTCAACTGGGTCACCAGTCACCTGGGTCACCAGGGTCACCTGGGTCACCAATCAGGTCTCAACAATCACATTCAACCTGGAGAAAAAAAAGTAAATTTTAAGATGTGTTTCTTGATGTTTCACATGGTTCATTATCGCACAAAGTTGATGGTCAGATTACAATTGATACTGGTAAAAATGTATGTATGTATAGATATATATAAATATCTTGAGGCATATATGGGAAATCTAAAGTGTTTTGAGTCATTTATAAAACGTCATTTAGTAATTAATCGAAGGTCATTAAGTCACCTATCAAAGGTCATTGAGTGATCTATCAGAAGTCATTAAGTCATTATCAAAGGTACTTAAGTTATGTATCAAAGGACATTAAGTCATCTATTATAGGTTATAATAGATCCATCATCTATAAATTTAATTATATTCATGGAGACCATAGAAAACACCATGCAGCTTAGCCACCGCCCCCACCCCCACCTGTCAGGTGAGCTGTGGTTCACGCTAAATGTTTACAGTCGTAGAGCCGGGTTAGTGACGGCTATTAGGGGCAGATCATTTAGTATTAAACTATTTGAAACGAAGGGGAGGTAATATTTTCTGATTGATCTTTTCTTTGTCTGGGCAGGGGGGGGGGAGGGAGGGCGGGAGGGGGTAGTGTTGAATTCACAAATTATGAATCGCTGATAAACAGAAAATAAAACAACTAGATGGCGGCGTATACTACGTCGCGGGGGGTCAGCTCGTAAGTTAATAATTCTTCTATCAAAGTTTATTGAATCACAATAAATACCGTATGTAGTCAAAAATAAACGTCATTTTAGAGAAAACTCACGAGATATATCAAAAGCTTTGGCTGGAGATTTTATAAATATCCTCTGTAGAGCACGGACGTTAAAAACCTAATCAAATGAAACAAACTGTCGTTGTGGTGGAGTTATTTGATTAGCTCTCTTCACAGGACTGCGGGGGTGGGGGTGGAGGAGGGGGGGGGGGGGCTTCTTTTAATGAGTTGTTTGTTACGGCAGGTGATTCATCTGACCAAATGAAAAGTGGCTGACATTTACGTCTGATTGGCTGACAGGTAAAGGGAGGGAAGGGGGGGGGGGGCTAGTTGTTGTTGAAGGTAGTGGAGGTAGGCGAGATTTGAAGGGTATGGAGAGGTTTGAAGGGGTTGACGAGGTTTGAAGGGGTTGGCGAGGTTTGAAGGGCTTGTCGAGGTTTGAAGGGGTTGGCGAGGTTTGAAGGGGTTGGCGAGGTTTGAAGGGGTTGACGAGGTTTGAAGGGGTTGGCGAGGTTTGAGGGGGTTGGCGAGGTTTGAAGGGGTTGACGAGGTTTGAAGGGGTTGACGAGGTTTGAGGGGGTTGGCGAGGTTTGAAGGTCTTGTCGAGGTTTGAAGGGGTTGGCGAGGTTTGAGGGGGTTGGCGAGGTTTGAAGGGGTTGGCGAGGTTTGAAGGGGTTGGCGAGGTTTGAAAGGGTTGGCGAGGTTTGAAGGGGTTGGCGAGGTTTGAAGGGGTTGGCGAGGTTTGAAGGGTTTGGCGAGGTTTGAAGGGGTTGGCGAGGTTTGAGGGGGTTGGCGAGGTTTGAACGGGTGGATTGGGAAAGAGTTCGGGGGGAGAGATGGTTGAGGTGGTTGTTGAAATGGTTGAAGTGCTGGTTTTGGGAGAGTAGAGGTAGGAGAGGATATGAGGTAAAGAGGTGTGGGTGAGAGGTAGGGTGAAGAGGTGTGGGTAGTTGTTACATTCAGAGGTGGTGAGTGTAAGGGTTCATCCATTTATGACGTCCACAATTTCTTTTTGGATTTTTTACCCCCTCCCCCCCCCCCCCACGTCCACAAAAATCTACTAATTTATCTTATGAAAGTCCACACGCGTCCGCAAAAGTCATTTTTTTCGGACCCCCCCCCCCCCCTCCGTGTGGCTGTCATAAATGGATGATCCCTAGGGTGAAGAGGTGTGAGTAGTTGTTACATTGAGAGGTAGGGGGTGTACGTTCCCGAGTGAAACAAGGTGTGTAAAAATCATCTCACTTTTTTAAAGCTTGACAGACTGTGTGAAAATCTAACCGTGAGTACGACTGTATTATACTACTCGCACTATTGTCGTCTACATGTAAACGAAATCATTGCTTGTATTATGCTGTAGGGGTCTGTGGCTTAACAGGAAAGTTTAAATTAGACTCGATGGCTGCAGAGGCGTAGCTAGAGCAAGGCGGGTCGGGCGGCCGCCCCGAGTGCCGACCTTAAGGGGGCGCCAAATTGGGTAGAAAAATAAAGTAATAAGCTTATTCAGATCTGTTATACAGTCGACTTTGAGAAAATAGAGAGCTACTTGGTTCTAATGGCGGCTTTCTACGTTACTTGTGTGATACAGGAATAAACTATTAACGGTGACTGATGTGTGTGTGTGGGGGGGGAGGTGGTATTTTATCGCTAATGTGAATAAATATATATAAATATGGGGTAGCGCAAAATTGATAGTTCGTCCCGGGCGCCGAAATGGGTTGCTACGCCTCTGGATGGCTGGAAGCAGCAACCCATCTAGAAGAGTATACTCCTCCGAAATGAAACAACTGCTGCCTTGCAGATTTTTAAAGGATCATTTGGAGCGTTTTGGGTGCACCAAGTCTATGAAAATAAATCCAGAAAGAAACGCAGGCTGAAATCGGGGTCAGCTCCAATAAGTCACATGACAAGTTGACACGTGATGCTTTATTGTGTGGAAGGGAATCTCGTCTAACATTAGAATTTATAAGAAAGAGGACGAAGATTACGTAATGTGTTATTCTCTCACACAAAATAACTCCACATTTCGGCTACAGCTGATCTATTGATTTGTATTTTACTAACGTGTCGTCTGCTAAAAATCTCAAGCTAAAAGGAAATGAATGTTTTAGTCCAGCTCACAGTGGAAAGGTTGTGATGTGTAATCATGCGTGACAAACGTTTTAGACTGAGCAGATGATGCGTGAACCAAACCTTTATGGATCCGCTCAACCGTGAATTTCAATTGTGGGGGGTCACAGTTGCATGGACCAATTTCCGGGGACTTTTTTTGAGGATTTTGAGAGTTTTATCGACTAATTTCCGGAGCTTTGATATTTGTGAGAGTCTCATAGATCAATATCCGGGGACATGTGTTGAGGTATGTGAGAGTTTCATAGATCAATTTCCGGGCACTTGATGTTTGTGAGATTTTCATAGACCAATTTTCGGGCACTTGATGTTTGTGAGATTTTCATAGACCAATTTCCGGGCACTTGATGTTTGTGAGAGTTTCATAGATCAATTTCCGGGGACTTATTATGAGGTTTGAGAGAATTTCATGGACGCATTTCCGGGAACTTGTATTTGAGTATTTTTAGAGTTTCATGGACCGATTTCCGGGGTGTTGTGTTGATAGTTTTGAGAATTCAGGTTTCATAGACCATCCGGAGACGTGTTGAAATTTGTAAGAGTTTTATAGACCAATATCCGGATAAGCGAGATAGGTTTTGAGGATAAGATATCACTGCATGTGTTCGGGTATCCTATCTCTAAGCTTGTGTTAACGGTTGGGGTTCATAGGTCATCACTCAGGGTCGTATACCACACGTCTGTCGTCAGCATCACAAATCACAGTTACTAAGTCGTCCTCCCAAAAATCGATAACCTACCATGGGTTATGTTTCAAAAATCCCAAACTATGAGCCAATAAATCTTACATGATCGATTAGTATTTACTTGTCTAACGTAAACCTTGAGTCGTTGGCAGTATAAAGATTTATCACATTAACGTACATTGAGTTTAGTGTCATATGTCACAAGTTAAATGTTATTGGTCACAATTCACAAGTGAAATGTCAATTGTCACGAATAATGTTCTTTCTAAGGGGAAAATGTTAGTGCGGAACATGTCTTTTTTGTGCGTGGTGTTCTAAAAGTCTAAAAGTCATTCCAGGATATACTATAAATTTATAAAACGACTGCGGCAGGTTAAAATATATTGCGCGGCCGCGCAATAGCGCAGCTGACAGGGAACATTGATCAAACACCCCAATGGTCGGTCAACATAGAGTACAATCCAACACCCCACTAGGCCTCTAGAACTATTTGCCATTCTGTATCACGTATCAGTCATATCCAAGGAGTCAGTGTGTTGGTTTAACAGGAAGTTAAGAAAATAATCTGGTACTTAAGTTTACAGACTTGACTGTTTTCTACATTGTGTGACAGCCACATAACTGTTAAGGAACGGTGACTGGAAACTTGGGTCACTCGACCTAACTAAATGGGATAGGGGAGCCATTTCGCAATTTTCAATAACTAGATCTATATATGAACAGGAGGGGTGCGGGCGCAAAAGAGAAAGTTTTCTCCTGTGAAAAATATTGTAATTTTGTAATATTAGACCCCCAGTCGAATATCACTTCATGCAAAGTACGAGTGGAAATAATATCTTACAATAACAAAAGGATTTATAGTGCCTGGGGAGTGAAGTGTAGATTAAGAGAGCTGTGGTGTTTTTATCGTGTTATATTTTTATGAGCAGAAGTATTATGGTTTACGTTTATGTTCATGTTAGATAGTAGATTGTTAATTATGCAATATAAAGCGAAAGTAATTAATTAGGGCTAGGGCCTAGATCTATAAAGTAATTTTTAATAAAAAAAATTCCCATCAATTTTGTAATAAAAAAAAACAACGCTATTCAACTGACAATTACCATTTTAAACATCACATGGGCTAAAAATCAGATGAACTAACATGTTATTTTTTATCGGTTATTTTCTTGTTACGTAGGGATTATTCCAAGTTTTTTATCTGATCTTCGTCTTAGCAAAACTATTACGTGCGTGCAAATAAGTCCGACATCACGTATAAAACAAGAAAAATTAGCAGTTTTTAAATTTGGAATGGTTTTTTTTTTATTTAATGATATTGACTCTTTCACGAATAACGTCAAAAACTCAAAGGTGTGAGTCTAAAATGACTTTCAAAAAGAAAA